AGGGAGCCCGATGTGGGGCTCGATCCCAGGACCCCGGGATCATGACCTGAGCCGAAGGCAGACGCTTAACCGACTGAGCCACCCAGGTGCCCCAATGGGCTCCCCTTTCTTAACTTGTGCTTGGCTGGGCTGCCACTTAATCTCATAATGATTCCCCTTCCTGTTTCTCATGTCAAGGATGGCTGGCTGCCCCACCAAAACTGTGATCCTTCTGCCATTACTGAGTTGTGGCTGAAAGTGGCAGCCCAGCCAGGGATTACGTTTTCCAGGAAGTGCACATGCACGCACATACACACCCTGCATCTCGGTGAGACCAGTGGACTATGAAAAGTGAGCAAAAATACCAAGTGCAGCTAGCATTACCCCAACAGAGCTTCTTAGTAGAGACTTCCTGAATTTTTATTTCTACTATCTAGGAACATCAGCAGAATTCTCAGCAACAGATTCTTCCATCATCCACACAGATCTCTCCTCACGTCAGCACTTCCCTAGCACAGGGAAGTAACAGGAGCTCCCCTTAATGCAGTCAAAGCCAGAGGTTCCTGAATTCTTCCACACATTTGTATTTGTATTGTCTTGTATTTGTTTCCTCCTGCTATGATTGCCAGGTTTTAAAAGATGCTATCAGCCAAATTTAATTAAGAATTTGAGTTCTTATTTGTTATCAAATGAACAGAGATCCTGCTGCCAATAAGAGATTCTGATCAGCGTGAGACTGTCATTGTTATCACAATCAGCTGGTAAAATTCCAGCATGGTAAAAGAAACTGGATAATTTCCTTGGTCTATACAGGGGTTTTTTTGTTGTGTTTTTTTTTTTTAAATAAATGTGCTTCTGCTCTCTGGCTTTTTGAAATACTCCAAGCGGCGTCTGGTGGGTCTCTGGAGACCCTGGGCAAGGAATTCTGGTTTGTATGGCCCGAAACTTACCCCCAGTTAAAATCATACCTTTCTGATCCCAGCTGGCCTCCTGAAAAACAGGTTTCACTGGTTGGCTAGATATGTAGGGTGCTTAAAAAAACTACCCACAACTGCCCCTAACTAGGCAGAATTAAGGCATTCTTCTCTGGAAGCATCTGGCCCCCAAGTGTGTAAAGCTCAGGAGCACAGCAATATAAAACCAGAATTTTATTTACAGCAGATCAAACAGATACAGGTGCCCCACCCATCCTCTCAGGGCTCAGCAGCTGAAGCAGGCGGCAGTTACATCAGAAAGACACCCCCTCCCCACCTCCGGGACTGAAGAGCAGACCTGTTACAGCCCAGCAGAGTAACTAGCGGGTCCAGGATTCTCGCTGAAGAGCAGAGGAGGACCAAATGACAACACAGGAGGGAAAGAGTTCTACTGAAAGACCACAGATTAAGAATTTTCTCTTAGGGCGCCTGGGTGGCTCAGTTGGTTGGGCGACTGCTTTCAGCTCAGGTCATGATCCTGGAGTCCCCGGATCGAGTCCCGCATCGGGCTCCCTGCTCGGCGGGGAGCCTGCTTCTCCCTCTGACCCTCCCCCCTCTCATGTGCTCTCTCTCTCTCATTCTCTCT